AGACGAAATGGAGATTCCTCGGTTGAAACATTGCCCAGAAGTCGCTGAAATGGCCCAGGTAGGAGTGAATTGTGGAAAGTGTATGCCCGAATTTCACAACTCCCGACTTGAGCCTACAAGAAGTTGATGTGCAATGCTGTTTCATATTGATGGCCCCCATCACCGAGAAGCTTCTTGAAGGCTCCATATGAGTTTACCTCGCAGAGAAAAAAGTCAAAGCCAACTAGTCCAACCATATCCTCCTCTGAAACCAGAGAGACAAATTCGAAAGATGCAGGCAGAGAATCAAAGTGCCAACAACTTGGATTTTCTTGCATATACAAGGATTGATGTGCATGAAGACGCGTGTGCGACTGATCTTATCAATGTCTTCTAAGGACGAATTTTATGGGGGCCTTTAATTTTCGTTACAACAAGAGAACTTTCTCAATAAACTTAAACATTCATTCGCCATTAATTCTGTTAAAATATATCTCGAGTTTGAGCCGGATAGATGAAACCCGACACGAGATTAATTGTTATTTGTGGAGGCTTGAATATTCCGAATTGAATATTTTATGGCGTCTGAAATCGAGCAATACGTAATGCGGAAATTCCATCCGTGTTAAACTCGCGACCAAGAACAGAATTATTTCCTCGAAGGAGTCCACGTTCGAATAGGAAAGTCAGAATTTAGACTTTGTTTGAAATATTTGGAAATCAACTTCTCTGGTGAAGTCGTGATGAAAAACATAAGAAAAGGAAAGTCAAAGCGTGATTTTTTTTTGTTGACCGAATTCTGTACATGAAGTTTCCTGTTTCATGTTGAAGTTACTGTCAAATAAAGAGAAAGTCCAAGCTGGACTTTGGTGGACCGAATATATGGATTGCCTAATCCATGAAGTCGGTCACTGGAGGATTTTTCTTTTGTATATTTGCTCTACCAGCTGAGCTATCCCGACCATTCCTTACACATCATCCTATATTCCGATCGTGGGAGTCTTTATGTAGAGATTATCGAATTTTCTGAGTGCTTGGCAGTTGGTTTCATTTGTGCCATTACATCAAGAACTTTTAGTGTTTAAGTCGATTAAATCTTATGGTAATATTTGTTAATTCCTGTAATATTTATGTTTCAAGGTTAAAAGATTTAAGTTGATTAAATTTTGTGGTAAGATTTGTTAATTCACGTGATATTTGTGTTTCAAGGTCAAAAGGTGAAAAAAAGAAAGAGAAAACAAGGAGGAGTTGAAAAGTCAAAAGCATAACAGTGGACGCTTTAGCTGTTTTAATCCGAGAGCGTGCATGGCCGAGAATGAGAAAAGGAAAAGAAAGAAAGAGAGGAAAAGAGAAGGTAGAAGAGGAAGGGTTTCACATGTTCTCGCCATGAGAGCATTGCCAAGTTGGAGTTACTTCGTGTTGCAATGCCCGGTAAGTGCTCGAGTCCCTTGTTTGTCCAATCGGAGAAGTTTTCTGGTTTATGGCTCAAATTTTGGAGTTACGTGAGATTCAAGTCGCGAAGTCCGACTTTTGAGTTGTCAATCTGCGTATATATATAAAAATGATAGTTTGGGGTGTTGTGGGGCCACAGGATTTTATGGATCTTGATTTAGACATATGATTTGCCTGAAACAAAATTTTGAAGTTGAGCGCGCGTGATGCACAGTGCTCGACCAGAGTCTTTTAGCCCGATTTTCATTGATTTTCGGCTCGATTTTGGGTCAGCCAAGTTGTGAGTCTTCTAGTGCTTCAGAAGATCTTCATTTTGACTGTAAGATCGCTTAGAATGGGGTTCGGGTGAGAGATTTATGGCACAACAAAGTCTCGCGTTCAAGCTTCGCGTTGCGAACGGCTTTTAATATTGCTTTGGACGAGCGATTTGTGAGCACGTTTAAGTCGTTTTGGTTAATGTTTAAGCTTGGTTTAGTCGAGTCGTTAGTTAAAATAATATTTTACTTCATTTTGACATCGATTCTCGTTTAATTGATAGGATTACAAGATCGTCGGCAAGTTTTGCCACGTTGTATGGTTTTGGGGCATTCCTAGGTGAGTGGTGCCGATATCTTCTTTGATTTTGTAAAACCCATGTACAGAGCTATGTATATATATGAAAGTAAGAAGAACACATTTGCTGCATAAAGCTGGATGGAATGTTTACTACTTTTGGATTATGGTGGAATGGTTCGATAAACCTTTCCTGAAAGGTTATTCTTACTATTTTATGTATTAGATTTATGAGATAACTTTTGAGGAGTTATATGTTTTGCTTTGTGAAACCATTTGTGATATGGATTGGTAAAAAGGACTAAGTGCTATACGATAACGTAATTTTGTGGGAGCCACCTCTAGGGCATTGTAGTCAAGGGCTAAGTGCTACATGGCGACTCAAGCCGTGTAGGAGCCACCTCTAGGGCCTTGCACCATTGATATGCACAGTAAAAGACTAAGTGCTACATGATAACGTAAATTCGCGAGAGCCACCTCTAGGGTCTTGTACTATTAATATACGTTGGTCAAGGACTAAGTGCTATACGATAACATAAATTCATAAGAGCCACCTTTAGAGCCTTGAATTGATATTGAGCATGGAATGGACCATTAGCATGTGTTTGACTAATTTGTATTGAATTGGACCGGTGATACTGCCTTTGATATTATGGTTGAATGGATATTTATGCTATAAATATAGCTATGTGGAAGTGCTATATAACTCATTTTATCCTTGTGAGTTTGTTATATTATGAATTGATATAAGTGAGTCATGTCCTTGAGTTTTGAACGTGTATTGTGGAGGCTTGATATTCTTAAAAGATATGTACTACTCACTGAGCTGTGGTTGCTCACCCCTCTCTTTCTCCAACCTTTTTAGGTCTCTTGATTAGTGGCTATAGAGCGAGAGCGCTATCGACAGGAACTTTTGGGAATTGGCTCTTGACTTTTGGGTTGAGGTTGCGTCCTTCGGGTGGAAGGACGGCCGTGTCATCCCCCATCCTGGTAGGTTTCGGGAAGTGACAATTCCTTCCTAAGATTGAGAGATTATTTCGTGAGGAATTGTGAAGCTAAATATTATGTGCGTTATTGGGTGTAATTGGGGGCTATGAGTGACTCGAGTGTGGTTGTAATCTTCATTGTTCTATAGTGGAATTTGTTGCTGCTCTTCCCGTAGACGTAGGTTACTACGACTAAACTACGTAAATTTGTTCTCCGATTTTTTTTTTCTTTTGTCAAATTTACTATTCAATTGCTTGCTTTCGCAACAAATTCGATAGATTAATAGGTGACACTTTGAATTTTTTTATTTCAGTTTCTAGTTTTCAATTCGATGACAAATGTAGAAAATAGCAATCATTGCATGAAAGATGTGCTATGTGTCTTCAAAAAAAAAAAATCGGAGGAAAGTATTACAGAAAGATCACAGAAATGAAAGTGAAGAGCAACATATAGGCTGCGTTTAGTCATCTGTACTTCTAATCAAGATAGGACTGGATAGGATAAGATATGAAATCCAAGGAATTTGCTATATCCTATCTACTATTTAGTGAATCGTGGAAACAAAGTCGGATATTTTCACATTTTACCATGTCCATTATTTGCTATGAACGTCAAATCAGTATAAATGAACCTAAAAATTGCACAAATGGATATGATAAAAATCTTTTACGACACTCTTACGTACTTCATTTTCCTTTGTTTATTTTTTTTTATCATTTTTCCATATTTTTTAATTTTTTAATTATTTATTTCATTTTTCCCCTTCCATCGATTAAATAGTAAACTATAGTAATATTCCTAAAATATGTAATAAATACAAATATATTAATATTGATTTCTATATATGAAATTTATATCACAAGATATAAAAAAATTTTGAATATATAAATAAGAATAAGAATAAATAAAAACGAAATTATTTTTTTTTATTTTAAATTTTTTATATTAAAATTAAAATATTATTTATATTCAAATATTATTTTAATTTTATTAATTTAACAAGTTTGTTATTCGAGAAAATTAACTTTTATATTATATTTATTAGAAATCCTATCCATCTTTATCCCACTTCCCCATAAGATAATTTTATCCAGTTTATCTCTTCTATATCCGATTTTATCCTATCTTAGGCAGACACCAAACACGGGATATGATAAAATTTATCTTATCCTGAATTTTATCCCGACTACCAAACGTAGCCATAGTGGTTAGGAAGAGAAACACGTAAGCTAAACTTGTTATTGAAGGTAAAAGGCAATGGTGATGGTGTAGCACTGACATGCCAGTCATGGAGCAATCCCCAGAGGAGAAGGAGGAGGAGGGAAAGAATGGTACGGAGTTGAGTCACACTCACTTTGACTGCAACTACTCCTTGAACTAGGGTCCCGTTGAAGAAACTGGCTTTCGAGGATGCGAACCACTTCAAACATCTCCGATCGACCAGATGGAACCTCATGTGTGCCCAAGAATGCCAATTGGACTAGTCGTTCTGCTTCTTCTTCCACGTAATTCCCCTGCAAATTGGGATCGATCACCCTTCCCAACTCGTCCCTTCCCAACTAATCTTCATTCATATGTTTTCTAGTCCATTCCTCCAAGCAGATGAGCTCGAGAAGCATTTTCCAGTATGCAAAGACATCATTCTTCAGTGTGCACTTATCTGTGTAGATGTACTCAGGGGCAACAAACCCAAGTGTGCCACGGACGGGGGTGTTGACATAAACATCTTCATAGCGATGATAGGATTGAAAATCGGAGCCAGAATCAGCTGAATTTTCTCCTGTCGGTGATGAGAATGAGACTCCCGTGCCTGAACTTGGCATACACGTAGGCCACTCAATAGTCCCTACCTCTACATTTCTCTCATGCATGATCATGGCAAACAAAAATCCTCCGATCACGGCCTCAAAATGCACATTCAGCAATATATTTGATGCGCAGATGCCGCGATGCATGATCTTGATGTTACCTTGATTGTGAAGGTGCGCAAGCCCCCTGGCTCCTCCCAAGGCTATTCGCTTGCAAGTAGTCTAATCGAGAGGTTGGGCAGACCGATCAGGTCTCGCTCTAAGATTGTAAGATAGGTTATTGTTGATCATCAAGGGATACACCAGTAAGAGCTCTTTCTTGGTCCTGCAAAAGCCCCTCAGGCATAGCACGTTTGGGTGCGTCGAAACTGTGCTTCCCACTTGTATTTCTGCTTCGAACTCTTCCCTCCATTGATCGATGTAGCGCACTCTCTTTACTGCCACGAGCGAACCATCAGCCAAGCGCCCCCGGTAAGCTTTGCATAATCCACCTTCCCCCAAGAAGCTGTCGTGGCTAAAGTTGTGTGTCGCGACTCGGAGCTCCCTTAGAGAGAAGCTTTTAGGAGGTGTAGGATCGTCTTCAACAGACTTGGTAAAACTGAAGGTTCGGAGGTTGAACACCATCCTTAAGTGGGGAAAAAGTAGATTCTTCTCAAGTTCAAATGGATCGTATAAGCTTGATGGTTTTTCTCATTTGTTATAAATATTAAACTCATGCTTAAGCTTTTGAGTGAATATAGATCCAATTGGATATATTGATGGGTTAGGACTTGGACTTCCTCTTGGCGATGTGAAGATATCAGGTTTCTACTGCGCACTCTTATAACAAATGGTATAAGAGTCAATGGTAGATTGATTGGCCCTCAATTTAGTCAAATTAAGATATCTTGAAGTAGGAAGAGATTGTTAGGATGCACATGTGAGTTGTGTTTGAGAAGTCATGCATTGGAGAATTGGTGTACTGTGGAGCAATTAATATATCCAAGTTAAGCCATAATTCATTGACTTAAACTTTTGAGTAAAAATGGGTCCAACTAGATATATTGATAGGCTACGACTCAGGCTATTTCTTAACGATCTCTCCATACGAAGGTATTAGATTTTTGCTGCGTACTCTCACAACAATAGTTGTGGCCAAATCCAAACATTTCATGGCCGGTGTGATTTTATGGTAACTCCTAAGCGGAGTTACTTGAATTAATCGCCCCTCTTTGTCCTTGTGTTGATTGAATAAATCAGATGTTTCTTCGATATTTCCATTGCGTTCAAAGCATTTGTGCAGAATTTTTTTAGTTCTTCCCCGTCATTGTCTAATGGAGGGGCGGGAATCAAAGTCACAACAACCTTTCACTTCACATGATTACTCACATCTCACTTTCCCGTCCGTATACACCACACAACATACTAATTTGGTAAAAGACGTGACACATTGTTGAAACTGAACTTAATCTTTTCCGTCAAACATTCATTTTACCTTTCTCGTTCCTGGTCCTACACCTTTTTGACAAATCTACATATCTTGCTAATCACTTTGGATGTGTGTGCTATAATTGTTTGGTAGTAGAACTCTCTTACATTGTTGTCCCATAGTAATTTGCTTAAATAGCGATTTCATCAACCTTGTGATGGTTAGATGTCGATGAGGAAAGCCATTTCATGATTTCTCTAAAGATATAAATTTGGTAAAGTCCAATTTTGATTCCTAGACTTGCATACTTTTTAACCAATCTCTTAATTTTTTTTTGTCTGTTCAATTTTGTGATTTAACTTTCATTAGTTTTCTAATCAAGTTTCTTTAACTCCAAATCCGATATACTAGAGATGACATGTCCATTGGTTTTGGTGATAGTCTGATGTGGAAAGCCCAAGTTTAGCACTCTTGTTGCGACATCTCATTGCTCAAGGTCTAGCAATTCGAAATTTCCAGTGTCACGCATTAGATCATATTCTACGATGGCACAAAACTTTTCTATGTCAGTATCTTGCTAGCTCCTACAAACATGTTTGAACAAATTAATTAGATCTACAGCTGGATGGACTTGATTAAAAAGTTATGCAAGTGTAAAGACTTAGGCAAATTAGAAGTTTAAGGACTGGATATGAAGAATGCATAAATATAAGGATGAAAACGTGGACTTTTACCAATAAATACTCATATCGGGTATAATGGGGAAAATTATCAAAAAAGTCATAAACTTATTGCACTTTTGCCAATTCAGTCCTAAACTTTTTAAGTTTGCCAATTTAGTCCTAAACCTTTTCACTTCTTGCTAATTGAGTCCATCCAGCCAATTTTGGCTGGTCGGCGCCAATGTGGCCGCCAGCCGTCCGGCCAACACTGACGTGGCAATTTTTAAATATTTTTTTCGAATTTTTTAATATATATATATATATTTTTTTCTGACTTCTTCTCTCTGGTCGGTGAGGTTGACCTCTCCGGCCTTCACCTCTGGCTGGTTCGGTGACCGACCAAAGGAAAGAAGGCCAAAAAAAATTGAAAAAAATTGAAAAAAATTAGACAAAATATTTAAAAAATTGCTACGTCAGCATTGGCCAGATGATCGGCGCCGGCCGGCGTTTATGTCAGCTCCGGACGGCCAAAATTGGCCGAATAGACTTAATTGGCAAGAAATTAAAAGGTTTAAGATTCAATTGGCAAATTTGAAAAGTTTAAGACTGAATTGGCAAAAGTGCAATAGGTTTGGGACTTTTTGGACAATTTTCCCGGTATAATGTGTTTGTGACCTTCATAATACAAACTCTCCACAAGCATGCAACTTTATTCTTGCCACCAACCTTGTTGATAATATTGAATAGCTTGTAAAATTTGTCACGTTGTTTCGTATGTTATATTCACTACACTTTTATATTAGTACCGTCCACTATTTTTTAATATTGGAAAATAAATGTGTTTTCCATAAAGCCCAAATGACATAGATAAATTTTTGATCCATAAAAAAACCCCATTAATCTAATCCACCATTTTATAATGGAGTCCGGAAACAAGATTTGTGTGTTGAGTGGGAATCGAATTTGTGCTGTGTGACATAATCACACTTATACCATGTCCAATCTCTTGATTGTTAGATCAATCCTTGTCAAATAAATGAAAAAAGTTAAATAATTAGTTCATGTACTATTCTACTATTGAACCATAGATTAACGCAAAGGGGTCTAATATATACAATAACGGATGCCTTAGTTAGGCAATTTACCATGCATTAAAAGCTAGAATATAATATATATCTTGTATTACATGAGGACATATAGATGTGTATATATATTTATATGAATATGAGCTGTTCGTTAATGTCCCACCCTCCATCAAGAAAAGGGTCGGTGCTAATTAGTCGTTGAGTCAATGCACGGATATGACTCGAAACTTTGTAGCCATGCATAACCAACAATAAGCAAATCAATCTGCCTCCACAAAAGCAAGAAAAACCCTCCATTTTTCTAATGCTTCGCAAACCTAAAAAGAAAGATTGGGAGAATCTGAGGGATGTTAGGCCTGTTCTTTTCTCTCTTTCCGTGGAATCAAAAGGCTCGAAGAAACGACAAAAAAAGCAGCCATTGTTGAAAGGGCAGGGGCACGAATGGTGTCCGCCTTTGCGGTGCCCGATTCACTAAACTTTATGATTTCTTTGACCGATCGATCGATCAATCCCCTTCTTTAGAAAAAGGGCAAATTGACGGAAAGAAAGGAACTCCTAACGAGTCGCCCTCGAACACCCCCCCTGAATATGCTCCCCACAAAAGAAAAACAAAGACCTTCTCCGACATGTCAACATCGACATCAATCGTTAGTGTAGAACACGGCTTTGTCCTTTCCCTTGAAGTGAACTTTCAAATGGATGGGCCTAGTGAGCAAATAATTCACGACCAATGATAGCAACCGCACGTACGCAAATAAGTAGAGAGATTCATGTTATGTTTGAATGGCATGTACGAAGGCATCCAATCTGCATCGTCACTCGTAACCATCACGAAATGACCCGTCACGATAATAAGTAAATTGAAAAACTCGAAGGAAGAATGGAGACATGGTAATTAGAACTGGGTTCCTTTCAAATTAGGAGGTAAATTTGCATTCTATAGGGTGCGTTTGTTTTGGTTAAAGTATTTTCTGGGAAAGTGTTTGGGTGCGTTTGTTTTGGTTAAAGTGTTTTCTGGGAAAGTGTTTTCGGGACTTTTATTTGTTTGGTTATCCGAAAATGATTTGGTCAACTGAAAACACTTTCTGATCAAGGGAAAATTCATGTATAAATTTAGGAAAGTGAATTTCCTAATTTAAAAAGGTAAAATCACTTTCTGAAATTGATTATCTTAAATTTGTTAATATTTTATTTTTCTTTTTCCTTCTTCCTCCCTCCGCCGGTCGTCAGCCTCGACGATGGCCAGCGACCGGTCACAGGCGCGGGCCAGCCTCCCAAGCTCGGCTGATCTAAGCGAGCCCAATCACAGCCGAGGCCGGCGAACTACGAGCTCGTCAGTCTGAGCCCTGTCGAGGCCGGCGAGCTCAGGCTCGCCAGATCCAGGCGAGCTGAGCTCGGGCTCGGCAGAGGATGGTGAGCTCGCGGCTCTCCAGATCCAGGCGAGCCCGAGCTCGGCTGAGGCCGGCGAGCTCGTTAGCCGAAGCTTGGTCAAGGCCGGCAAGCTCGTAGCTCGCTAGATCCAAGCGAGTCGAGCTCGGGCTTGACGGAGACCGGCAAGCTCGCGGCTCGCCAGATCCAAGCGAGCCTCGAGCTTGCCTGTGGCCATCGCCGGGCAAGCCTCCAGCTTGCCTATGGTCGTCGCCGGCCGATCGCAGCGGAGGAAGAGGAAAAAAAAAGGAAAGGAAAGAAAAGAAAAAGAAAAAGAAAAAAGAAAAATAAATAAATTAATAATTTGATTTTTTTAAAAAAGAAAAGAAAAGGAAAAATAATTAAAATTCGATTTTTTAAAAAAAGAAAAGAAATTTAAAAATTAATATAAAACTTTTGACACTAAAGTGAGCGCCGTACATAACTTTTGGCACTTCTAGTATTCTTCTCTCACGTGAATTGTGGAAAGTGCATGCCCGAATTTCACAGGTCCCAACTTGAACCTACAAGAAGCTGATATGCAATGTTGTTTTGTAATTGATGACTCCCATCACCGAAAAACTTCTCGAAAGCTTCAGATGAGTTTACCTCGCAGAGAAGAAAGTCAAAGCCAACTAGTCCAACCAAATGCATCCGTGAAAGTAGAGAAACAAATTTGAAAGATGCAGGCCGAGAATCAAAGTGGCAACAACTTGGATATTCTTGCATGTACAAGGATTGATGTGCACGAAGACTCATGTGCGACTGATCTTATCAATGTTTTCTAAGGACAACTTTTGTGGTGGCCTTTAATTTTTCGTTCGAACAATAAAACTTTCTTACTATGTGTAACATCCTTAATTTCAGTCCTTGAGAAATGGCTATGGTCTAAGTTTGATGGTTTTCCAATCAGAACTAAAATTTTTACTCTTGTTTTGGAAAACCCAGTTTTGGATCCCGTGTACCCCTTCATTTTGTTATTTTTGGGGAGATTTTTGTGATCCGAATTTCTAAACACTTCCTTCTTGAACGTTATTTCAAACATCTTGAAGTTTTACATACTTTAATTTCAGAATTTTTAGACTTGATATGAGTAGTATGATGGCCTGATTTTCGGATCGTATAAAACTGCCCAGAATGGGTATTTCGGTGATGTTCACCCTTTCTTTATTTTCTACAAGCTTTTCTGGGCCGATTTTGGAAAAGTTTCCTTCACAAAAGTTGTTAATAATGTCCTTTTCTCTAACATATATAAATTTGGGAATTTTTCGAGATGATTTGGATTATGGACAGAGCTTAATTTCAGAAACAAGAATTTTGTTCCGGTGAACTGTTTTTACTCTGTATTTGAGCTACTAAAAATGGTGTTTATAGAAAGATTCCGATTTTGTGTTCTTCATGAAAAATGTTTGTTAAGGCCTTGTTTATGACATATTCAAATTTGATAATTTTCGGAGTCCGTTTACTATGTTTTCAAGTCCAATTTCGTGAACAGTGCAAAGCTGTCCGGTTTATTAGATTTCAAAGATTTATCAGTTTTTATGTGAGAACGTTGGAATCTCGACTTGATGTCTTTTGGTGATATTTGAGGCATATTTAGAGGATTTCCCACACCGAATCTTAGGTTGAATGGGATTAACGAGCATGTTATATTTTGGGAAAACCCTCAGAGAATAAGTTAGATGTTTATGATGAGGGTTGTGATTGTAGTGCCGATTAGTCTATTTCGTGTGACCTGATTGGCCCGAGTCATTTGCGTGAAAAACCAGCAAAGTCAGAAGGTTCTAGGGAGTCCACAGTCGGGAAATTGGTAGAAGAATCTAAAGGATAAGGCCTTGACCGAGTCAAAGCTTATCCTCCAAGCTTCATTATGGCTTGCATTTATTAAGTTAGACTTTGGTGGCCCTTCATGATGGCTTGTAATAATGAATCAAGACTTTAGGGCCCCTCCATGATGACATACATTAATGAACGAAGACTTTGAGGCTCCATTCATCATGACTTGCATTAATTAGTTGGACTTTAGAGGTATCACCATCATGACATGCATTAATGGCTATAAGACTTTAGGGGCATTTCATCATGTTAATTTGTCCATTGTCCATTAATGCAAAGATTTCCAAAATCAAGTTATTAATGGCATTTCATCATGGCTTTTGGCTCTTATTTATTAATGTCAAGATTTTCAGAATCTTTATAATCATGACATTTGACTTTGGAGGCATTGCATCATGATATTTTGGTTCTTATTCATTAATACCAAGATTTTCAAAATCTTTATAATCATGAAATTTGACTTTGGAGGCATTTCATCATGATATTTTGTCTCTTATTCATTAATGCCAAGATTTTCATAATCGAGTTATTAATGACATTTCATCATGACTTTTAGCTTATATTCATTGATGCTAAGATTTTAAGAAGATTTGATAATGATGACCAAATCTAGACGTTAATGAAGGAAGATTTTGTAATCATGGCAAAATCTAGAAAGATTTGATAATGATGACAAGAAGATATGGCTTGGAGAAGAAGCAAGTGGATCCTATAAATAAAGGCACCACTCCTTCATTTCTCACCATTTCACCATCGCCTCTCTCTCTCACGCTCTCACTCTTTAGGCCACCCCTTTCCTCTTGGCCGCGCCCTTGCCCGTGCCCGTGCCGCCGTCGACCGTCGTAGATGTTTTCTTGTGCTTATAGGTGAGTGGATTCCCTAACACTTGGATAGGGCGGTGTGTTACGTGGTTGGAAAAAACACTTGGATAGAGCGGTGTGTTACGTGGTTGGAAAGCGGCATGTAAGTGAATTCCCTAATCTTGTGACGTGGTTTGCTTGGACCGTGTTTGGTCTTTTGATTGGTTATGGTTGGTTCTTTCCATGACTTGCTTCTATGTCATATTTGAGGTGACGTGGTTTGCTTGAACTCTGTTCGGTCATTGGACCAGTTGATTTCAAAGAAAGATTATGAATCTTTGAAAAGGAATTTTGCTTAAGAAATGATTTCGATGTTTTGAGAAGGAAATCATGCTTTGAAATGATGTTTTTACAAAGTCCTTTGAAAATGGATTAATTTCATTGCTATGTTTACAAAAGGATTTCGATGCCTTAAGAAGGAAAACATGTTTCGAAATGATGTCTTTGCAAAATCGAGCGTCTGTTTGCATAAGTGATCACGCAAAATTGTGTTGTGGCATTGTTATGAGCACGAATCATGTTTACATGGGCTAATTGAAAATATAAGAATTGGCTTGAATACTCGAGTGCTCTTGTGACCACTAAATAAAAGAAGAAGACCGTCGTGTTAGTGGCGATGCCTCGATAAACTAGCGCCGGGATGCCCTAGTTGAGCTAGGATGCCTGGGTTGAGCCCGGATGCTTGGGTAAACTAGTGCCAGGATGCCCTAGTTGAGCTAGGATGCCTTGGTTGAGCCTGGATGCCTCGGGTGAGCTAGCCCCGGGATGCCTCGGTTGAGCCGGGATGCCTTGGTTGAGCCAGGATGCCTAGCATGAAGCTGGATGCCTCGGTTGAGCCGGGATGCCCTAGTTGAGCCAGGATGACGATAATGAATTCTTTATGTATGCCGGTATGTGATAAATGAATTCTATATATGTGCCGGGATGTGCATTTACAGGTGAGTTTCCATGTAAACATAGCAAGGGCAAGGTCAAAGTCTTTGCTATTGATTTGCCATCGACATAAGGTGGGGAAAGTATTTGTATGCGTTAGTACAACGACGAGGCATCATCCTGCACGAGTATTAGTGAATTTACTCATTGAGTCTCCCCGACTCATCCCCCGTTGTTTCCCTTTTTCAGGTTCGTAAGATGAAGGATGACATAGAGGAGATAGGATTAACCTCGGCCTCCGTTTGTACTATGATTTGTACGAGGAACGACTAGTGGAAAAAGGGCTTGTAAAATCTGTTTACGTAAAATGGAAATAGCATGTTATGCCTGTTGTGCTTTCCTTAATTTCAAGCTGTTATATAAGGTTTGCTCATGATGCTGTTCGTCTTAATCCCGCTGTTGTTTTGAATGTGATTGTCCCGAGAAATGCTTCCGTTTATGTAAAGAAAGATAACAATGAACGGGACGTCACATGAATAACCCCAAGGCGGGGGCGTTACACTATGTGTCTCAAAAAAATCGGAGGAAAGTATTACAGAAAGATCATGCAAATGAAAGTGAAGAGGAACATATATCGCTTAGGAAGAAAAACATAGAAGCTAAACTTGTTATTGAAGGTAGAAGGCAATGGTGATGGTGTAGCATTGACATGCCAGTCATGGAGCAATCCCCAGAGGAGAAGGAGAAGGAGGGAAAGAGTAGTACGGAGTTGAGTCATAGTCACTTTGACCCCAACTACTCCTTGTACTAGGGTCCCGCTGAAGAAACTGGCTTTCAAGGATTCGAACCACTTCAGACATCTCTGGTCGAACAGATGGATCCTCGTGTGCGCACAACAATGCCAATCGGACTAGTCGCTCTGCTTCTTCTTCCATGTAATTCCCCCGCAAATTGGGATCGATCACCCTTCCCAACTCGTCCCTTCCCAACTGGTCTTCGTTCATATGTTTTCTAGTCCAGTCCTCCAAGCAGAAAATTTCGCCATGTTTAGGGTAAATCGGCTGTCCCCAGATGAGCTCGAGAAGCATTTTCCCGTATGCAAAGACATCATTCTTCAGTGTGCACTTATCTGTGTAGATGTACTCGGGGGCAACAAACCCAAGTGTGCCACGGACGGGGGTGTTGACATAAACATCTTCATAGCGATGATAGGATTGAAAATCGGAGCCAGAATCAGCTGAATTTTCTCCTGCCGGTGATGAGAATGAGACTCCCGTGCCCGAACTTGGCATGCACGCAGGCCACTCAATAGTCCCTACCTCTACATTTCTCTCATGCATGATCATGGCAAACGAAAATCCTCCGATCACGGCCTCAAAATGCACATTCAGCAATATATTTGACGCGCAGATGCCGCGATGCATGATCTTGATGTTACCTTGATTGTGAAGGTGCGCAAGCCCCCTTGCTGCTCCTAAGGCTATTCGCTTGCGAGTAGTCCAATCGAGAGGTTGGGCACACCGATCAGGTCTCCCTCTAAGATTGTAAGATAGGCTATTGTTGATCATCAAGGGATACACTAGTAAGAGCTCTTTCTTGGTCCGGCAAAAGCCCCTCAGGCATAGCACGTTTGGGTGTGTCGAAACTGTGCTTCCCACTTGTATTTCTGCTTCGAACTCTTCCCTCCATTGATCGACGCAGTGCACTCTCTTTACTGCCACGAGAGAACCATCAGCCAAGCACCCCCGGTAAGCTTTGCAGAATCCACCTTCCCCCAAGAAGTTGTCGTGGCTAAAGTTGTCTGTCGCGACTCGGAGCTCCTTTAGAGAGAAGCTTTTAGGAGGTGTTGGATCATCTTCAACGGACTCGGAAAAACTGAAGGTTCGGAGATTGAACACCATCCTTAAGCGGGGAAATAGTAGATCCTTCTCAAGTACAAATAAATCGTGTAAGCTTGATGGTTTTTCTCGATTGGTAGTGATTGGTCTGGGAAAGTCTTCTGCAATTCCAAAGAGACTTTGCTGGTACACAGAAGTGTTTATAACTCCAGTTGGGTTTGTGCCTGTCTCACCCACGACTACTTTTGGTCGGTGTGACAGAATGATATGGTAAGGAAAAGTCGTTGGATTGTAGGCCGATGCCAATGTGGGGGGCCATCTCACTCCAAAGCCTTCCTGTGAGCAGCAGCTTCATGGAAAGAGAGAGAGCGAGAGAGGTTTCATTTCCTCGAAGCTTCCAAATTTGACAAAACGTGCCACTCATATAAAGAAAATTTTGCATAATTCTCCTAGATTTCTTGGATTCCTACGCATTAAAAAATCCAAATGTGAAGAGCACTAGCCCTTCTTCTTTACTACATGGGCTGTACATCACATGAAAAACCTAATAACTTTTGCGTATCATAGAACTTCCATACTTCTAATTACTCGTGTTTGGAACACGTCCGTTGTATGTCGATTGATCAAATTGCAATTTCAATGGAAAATTTGCTATATCAGTGGAAATACTAGTGTTAATTTTAGATCATTATTCTTTTCTCTATATTCCATTTTAAATAAATAATCCTTGAAAACAAGAAACAAATGCATTAACTGTTTGAAATATAACACGGAAACGACAGGATCTTGCAAATTAAGTCAATGCGAAAATACCAGAGAAATAAACAAGGAACGATAAAGGACACCAGAGATTTACGTGGTTCGGTCCAAATATCGGTACCTACATTCACGGGGAGAGTCAGCAACAAATAATCCATTATAATCGGAGAATCAGAGTTACAAATCACTTAAACGATCGAGTGTTTCCCACATCTAGATTTAAGCCCAAACCCAAAGTGTTTACGAATAAATAACTTAATTAGATAAAATAAACTCACTGCACAAATCACTGTATCTTCAAGCCCAAAGCAAAACACGCGCACGTTCAAGAATGTCTCTGTACGTTCTGCCTCCTTCGTGCGGCTTGAATATGAGCGTCTCTGTACGTCTTGCTTTGTGCAGCTTTTGGTCTTCGCTCAAAGAAAGAAACCTTCAATTTCTTTTCTTTTTATATGCGGCAAAAAACCCTAGTTGTGCTTCTCCTTTTATCTGACTTCCGTGGCCCCACACGTTTCTTTTGCACGTCCAAGAAGGGAAGTCCCTCACTGATAAGCATTCAACAAATTGACCTGGGCCCACCGAAATAGATATAATAAAATAAAGTGTGCCCCTGTTTTGTCTTTTAGTGGCCTTCTCTATTCATGTCGTCGTGAGCCCCTCATCCGAAATCAGCCAAATAGGAATGCGGAACAAACTCGAGACATAAATTTAACAATTCTCCACCTTTGCTCGATGTTTGTAGCCAAGTTATAGTTTTCATCATTCATGCTAGCTCTCCCAACGCCTCGACGGGCGCTTACTCTCCATAGACGCCAATTGTGCTCAAGCGAGCTGAGCGCCAAAGGACAGGCTTAGTCATCATGTTCATGGGTTCTTCTCTGTCGTAATCTTTTTAACAACAACTACACCCTTCGCTAAGACATCTCGGATGAAGTGGTACATGATGTCGATATGCTTCGTTCGCTCGTGATAAACCGGATTATATGCCAGATATATCGCACCTTGGTTATCATAGTGTATATCAACACTATTCTGATCTAACCCAAAGTCCGAGAGTAAACCTTTTAGCCATATTGCCTCTTTCTCTATAAAGGTCAGTGCCATGTACTCTGCCTCAGTCGAAGACAAGGCAACGTGATCCTGTAAGGATACCTTCCAACTAACTACACCACCTGCTAGCGTAAATACGTACCCTGCTAAAGACCTGCGTTCATCCAAGTCACCTGCGTGATCTGAATCCACATAACCAGTGGTCTCACTGCCATTATTGTCCCTTCGGTACACAATTCCAATGTCTGATGTCCCCTTTAAATATCTGAGGATCCACTTCATAGCTTCCTAATGAGCTTTACCAGGTCGCTCCATATAACGGCTAACTACACTCACTGCTTGTGAAATATCGGGCCTAGTGCATACCATAGCATACATAATACTACCCACTGCACTAGAATAAGGAACACGTGACATATGCTCCTCCTCCTCCTCAGTCTGCGGTGATAACTTATCTGAAAGTTTAAAGTGCATCGCCAAAGGTGTACTTACAGATTTTGCTGACTGTATATTAAATCGTGCAACAATTTTCTCAATATATTTCTTCTGAGAAAGACATAAAATTCCTACAGTCCTGTCATGCAAAATCTCCATACCCAAAATTTTCTTTGCAGCACCTAAATCTTTCATCTCAAATTCAATACTCAATTGCCTCTTCAGCACAACAATATCAGACATATTCTTAGCTGCTATCAACATATCATCAACATATAATAACAGATATATCAAAGACCCATCCTCCAATCTCCTATAGTAAACACAGCTATCCATATGACTTTTAGAATAGTTCTGACTAGCCATAAAAAAATTGAAACGCTTATACCACTGTCTAGGAGACTGTTTCAGCCCATATAAAGATTTCTTCAATAAACAAACATGATGTTCCTTACCCGGAATAGCAAATCCCTCTGGTTGCCTCATGTAAATCCGTTCCTCCAACTCACCATGAAGAAACGCTATTTTCACTTCTAGCTGCTCCAGCTTAAGATCTTGTGCAGCAACTAAGGCAAGTAAAACACGAATAGAAGTATGTCTTACCACAGGAGAGAACACCTCATTGTAGTCAATGCCCTCCCGCTGTGTATACCCCTTCGCCACAAGTCTTGCCTTATATCTCGCTGCCTCGACACCGGGAATGCCCTCCTTCCGTTTAAAGACCCACTTGCTACCGACAATCTTCTAGCTCTTAGGTACTTTGACCAACTCCCATGTCTGATTCCGATGAAGTGATTCCATCTCTTCACTCATAGCCCCTAGCCACTGCGACGACTCAGAACTAGCCATCGCCTTAGAGTAAGACGAAAGCCTATCTGTCTCCACCTCGTCACCTACAGTCAATGCATAAGCAATATCTGTATAACCATAACGTACCGGTGGTTTAATTTGCCTTCTCTGTCTACCCACGGCTATAGTGTGTTGCGGCTCTGCTGATTGTTCATTATCACCGACTTCGGGAACTGTGGCCTGATTTGTAATCTCAGCTTTTGTTACCTTTGAGGTCTCTGGAGTCTCCACCTGAATCTCCACCTCACTGCTGACACCATGATCTGTATGCTCTGCTTGTTGTGTCTCAAGACCCCTCCTTTGAAGCATTGCAGTCTCATCGAAGATCACGTCTCTGCTGATTAGAAAACCGGGTGATCTGGGATCAGTGCACCACAGTCGATAGCCTTTCACCCCATGTGCATAACCCAGAAATATGCACTTCTTCGCCCTCGGCTCAAGCTTACCATCACTCGCATGAGCATACGCAGGACATTCGAATACTCGTAATCCGGAGTAATCAATAGGTTTTCCCGACCATACTTCCTCAGGAGTCTTCCACTCTATAGCAGATGATGGAGATCGATTAACCAAGTAACATACCATGTTCATTGCTTCGGCCCAAAATTCCTTGCCTAAACCTGCATGGGAAAGCATGCTTCGAGCTCGCTCCAATAAAGTTCTGTTCTTCCGTTCTGCAACGCCATTCTACTGTGGCGTCTTGGGCATTGTGCGGTGTCTCACAATCCCTTCTTTCTCACATAACTCGGTAAAATCTTTACCATAGAACTCCATGCCGTTATCGGTTCTTAGGCACTTGATCTGTTTATCTGACTGCTTCTCAATTAATGCCTTAAACTTCTTGAACCGATCAAACACATCATATTTGTGCTTAAGAAAGTATACCCATACCTTTCTCGAGTAGTCGTCGATAAATGTCAACATATATTAGGCACCTCCTTTCGAAGGAACCGGAGATGGGCCCTAGACGTATGAATGAATGTACTCAACCGGTCGCTTGGTCGAATGAATAGCTGTTGTAAACTTAATCCGACGCTGCTTCCCAAAGATGCAGTGCTCACATAAGTCCAGCTTCCCTGTCTTCTGACCCTTTAACAACCCCCTATCACTCAGCATCGTCATACCTGCCTCACTCATGTGCCCCAAACGCATGTGCCATAACTGAGTCAAGTCAGAACTTGACTCACTTGATGAAACTGCAGAAGCTTCGGTCGCGGTCTCTCCCAGTAGATGATAGAGAGAATTCACTTTCTTCCCCTTCATCACTGTCATGGCACCTCGAGAGACCTTCAGCACTCCACCTTCAGTAGTGTATTTACACCCGATATCATCAAGTGTCCCTAAAGAAATAAGGTTCTTCTTGAGCTCTGGTACATGTCTCACGTCTGTTAGTGTGCGTACCACCCCATCGTGCATTCGAATCTAAACTGTTCCTATCCCCACAACATTGCAGGTTGCATTATTCCCCATCAGAACTCTACCACCATTTGCAGTCTGGTAAGCAGTAAACTAGTTCCTATGAGGCGTCATATGATAAGAACACCTCGAATCTAGCACCCATTCATCTCCTAACGAACTAGTAGTCACACACAAGACGGCCTCTGCATCACTAGTGCTCTCCTCAGCAACGTTTGCCACACTGCTCGTGGCATTCTGCTTGTCACCTCTATTTCTTCGCTTCGGACAATCTCTCCCGATGTGCCCCTCCTCCTGACACTCAAAGCACTTCACGCGTCCCTTAGACTTTCTATTGCATGACTTTGACCTGCTTTTATCTCTGCTGCTACTGGACCCTCGATGTTGTTTTCTACCTCGAATCACTAGTCCTCGCGCTACATCCTGCGCTAGAATATCATCTCGCAACTTCCTCTGCCAATCTTTAGAGAACAATGCTGACTTTTCCTCTTCCGAGGTAATCGTAGTACGCCCTTGGAGTAGTGAATCAGTAAAGTGCTCCCATGATTCAGGTAAAGAAGCCAATAACATCATGCCCTATTCCTCATCATCAAGTATCTTACCGACATTCTTCAAATCCATCATGAGTTTATTAAATTCATCTAGATGGGATCTGATCGACGTACCTTCAGTGTATCGAAATTGAAACATCCTCTTCAACATGTACAAGCGATTGTTCAAACCC